CAGTAACCTCACCGACTTCCATGAAACTGCGTGCTTGTTTTCTGGCCAGTACTCATTACTGTGCTGCTCACACATTCTGAGCAGCAGGCTCGACCCCACTGAGGCTGCCCAGGAAACAAAGTTGTTACAGAAGTATGCTCTGCAAGTTCAGGAGCACGTAAATAGCAAAATTTCTCCTAAAAGAACTACACGGGGTAGACATGCCGCTTGGAAGGGACCCATGTGATGGTTCAAAGATCAAAAACCAAGACACTTGAAAACCAAGGTATTTCCTGGCTGCCAACTATGTAAAATATGTTTTTGTATACATGCGTATAAGTATTTGTCTAGGATTTGATGCTGTGACTTGCAAGTTTGTTGGTTATACTTACTGTCCTGAACTTCACATGATATATGCCATATACATCACTTGTCATCACTCCTTTTTCACACTGTTTCAGCAGCTGTTTGTTTTTTACTTAACCCCATGCTAATGGGCGGTGGTGATAGGAAGTTCAGGATGGAAACCCAAAGTATTCATTTTGCTTTGTGGGAATACCAGCTCTGGATTTTCCGGTACCTCTCATTAAAACAAAGGGAAAAGTAAGAATGAAGGATGACACAGGCCAGCATGTCCTACAGTTCGGATTTGATACTGCAAGACTAAAAATTTACATGGGATAATTATTTCTGCTCATTTGCTTCTTTGCTTGCTGCTCTTCGAAATGACACACCGCAACCTAGGAGCTTTTCCATACTTGAACCCTGATTCAGTGTAGCATATACAATACCTATCATTTTCTTAGCATTGCTCGCTTGACTTTACCTGTTGTACATGGAAAAAAAAGTCTTCCTGCCGTTTGGTGGTCCGGCAATTGACAAAATCTTGAGCTATAATTCTGGCTTCTGCCTACAAACCTTCACATTCCTTGTTAATTATTTATTGAAGCACTCATTAGCACCTGATACCAGACCATCTCAGGTACAATCACTAAGAGATACCCAGGCAAACACATTTACTGGATTAAAAAATAACATTTTTTTGTTACTTATTGTAACTAAAGTATAACTCAAGTTACTGCAGACACAGTTCTGGAGGATTCCTTCTGTCTGCATGTCAGGAACTTGCCACACTTAACTGCTTACATAGCACAGATGTATTGCTAGTCAGACAGTCACAAGTATAACACTAGTTACCTTACTTTGCTGCCTGCTACTGAAAGGAAATCTGTATTATAATTTCCTCCTTCATTTTCCCTCTATAAAACTTAGCACATCGCAATTTTCCGCTCACATATTCTGCTAAAAATATGAAGTAACTCATCTGAACCGGGATCAGGTTCACCTCTGCTGCGGCTGCAGGAAAGAGAGGAGAAGGTAGGCGAAGAGGGGCTGCCTTGGCAGGCTGGATACTCTGGCATGGTGTGAGGGTACATACGTGCCATGCTCCCAGGCTCCAGTTTCCTGTGCCCCTTCCTCTGCCAGCCTGCACTTGAACTGCACTGCTGCAGTAAGGGAGCACGGGTCTCCTAAACCTTGCCTTAATAATTTGCAGGAAACTAGGAAATCAGATGCTTGCAGAGTATAAACAAAATCTGGCAGATTATATTCTCCACCTTTTAAGCAAAATGACAAGTAAATTTAGACTTGGCAGAAGCTGGAATTAGGAAAAACCTGAAAATCAGAAAAACACTTGTAAAGTGCTTGAGCCACCCTAACATTTGGCTAAATTAAGATACTGTGCCTCCCCATACTGAGCTATTTTGAAGCAAACTCCTTGGCTCTGCTTAAAGCACCCTTCTTCCACCTTGCACTCTATTGCTTAAGTAGAATACATCAGAATTATTTCTAGCTAATCCAATTGAAAAGAAACCTATCAAAAGAGTTATCTTTCTTTGAACAACCAGTGTTATGCAACTTCTTAAGGTTTCAGGTCAAGTTTCACTACATTTAAGATTGGTGGTCGGAAACAGTCACAGCAGCTGAGTATCACATCAGGGCCAATATGACAAAAATAAACACCAGCAGTATAGAAAGGGCAGAGAGGTGAACAAGTTGTCCTTGCTTTATTCTCATAACTTCTTACTCCAGAGCACTGCAGAGTTTGCATTTAAAAGTAGACAGAGCAGCTATAAGCAGATGAATATGTGTGCATGCACACACAAGTTATTACTCTGAATTAGAGTTTGGCTTTTGTCAGATACAATGACTGGAACACATGCAGCAGGAAAAAAAAGGTAGGTTAGCAGAAGGGGAGATTATATTTATTTCTATATAGTAACGAAAAGCATGACTTGACTGAGTTCTTAAGAGTCCCACAAAATGGGAAAGACAGGAAATACTACCTTAGTAGCAGGAGCTTCCACAGGTCTGCCTGCAGAAATGCAGAACACCTTGTAATGCTCCTGTACATGCTGCTTTAATTTGCTTTAAGTAGTTGGATATTAACAGACCTATACAGGACTGTGGCATCAACTGGATTCAAAATGAAGTGATACACATAATGTTTTTAATGAAACACTTCCCCTCTTGAATTCAGGCCTGGAGATGGCTGTTTTTGCAGTATTGCTAATACAAGTAGGAATGATTGAAACATTTTGAATTGAACAATATGGAGAATGGCAGATGCCTTTTGGACATAATAATTTCTCCAAATTCGGCATGGCTGTTACATGATTGCTAATCAGAGCACTTACTGAGTGCTCAAGACAGAGCACAGGCATACCTACTAGATTCTCACCACATAAATGTAAAATATATGTGTAAATAGCACTATTCATGTTCTTTGTAAACACAGAAATAGAGAAAAGGGATTCTCTTGCTCACAACTTTTTGTTCATGTCTCTTGCTTCCCCTCGGAGTAACAACTGATCTTGTTGTTTCTCACTTTGCATACACATCTGCCCCTCTGCTTCTGAGATGCCAGTCACAGTGTTCTTTCATACAGATTAAAACCATTATATTAAACTCAGAACAAACAGTCCACACTCAGCTTGAAATTTGCTGTCTTTTAGATCTCAGGAAGCCTATGTAGCTAAAACTTTGCTGCCTTTTTTTCCCCAGCTATATTAGTTGGTTAGCTAAAAATCTACAGATATTCCCAAGCTTTTCCAGTAAGTTTGAGACACTTTATTCAAAAGATATTGGAAAAAAAATTGCTGTCTTTGCTACCGAGTTGAAGTAACAGGAGAAGAGGCAAGAACATGATAAATAAGAAAACACTGCAAGAAGTTTCTGATTGTGTTGCTCTTGATATAAGGTTATGCAGTAAATATCCTCAAATTTGAATTGTATCTATCCTATTTTGTATTTTGCTTTTTTTTTTCCAAACAGAATTATTTAGCACTTCCTACAATGTGCTTGGTATCATATGTATTGGACAGCACCAACTGTGCTGCTGGAGTGGATTACATCTAGAGGCTCGAAAGCAAAAGTTGGCCAGCTGGGATGCTTGGCTTGTGGGTGGAAGTTGCCTAAGAGGCACATGGCTTGTTAGTGGTAGTAAGCTATTCTCTGAATCCCACACACACACCTATCTCTGAGCACTATCTCTATCTACTACCTCTACAGCCTGTGGTCCAAGATTTGCCATGATGTGATCTGCTGTGGACAAATCAAAGATGGACCAGAATTGCTTGGGTTCAGTTATCTGACAGGTGTCTGTATTACAAACAGATACCTCTCTTATTATTCTGGCAGTTGCTGTTAAGGACAGCATCAAACAAGGAATAAAAATGAGGAGGATGTTGAAGGGACCAACCAAAGGACTAATGTTTCAGCATATGTAGGGAACAATTTTAAGGTGTAATGCAGCCCAGATTTTGAAGTCTGAACTTCTGATTTCAGTACTTTTGCAAGTGTCTGAAGCAGACACGAAAGTCCTTCAAGCCGGAGCCTAAACCCAGCTGTGACACAGGCAAATGCAACTGTGTGTGTAATATAAAGGGCTTTGCATTCAAACCAAATTAAAGGTTATTACAGGAATGGAAGCCAGACAAATAAGCAACAACAACATATTGTAGGTAGTTTATCTTTCAAACATACAACATCATATTGTTGTACCAGGGACTGAAAGGACGCAAATCTACTATGGAGCCCTAAATCAGATGCACTGAGATAACAGGAACACCCTATCCCATTTTCTGACAACACAAATAAATAATACAGAACCCAGCAGAGAATGTGCAACAAAATTCTACTTAAAGTTATTTTCTAGAAGAACAATAATTTTTTCCAAAGATGTATGTGTCATCTTGGTAGCTGCATTTCTTGGTGGTTTACAGGAATAACTGGTTGGAACACTTAGATAATTCACAGAAGTAATTCAAGGGACCTTCAAGAGGGCATCTGCTCTCTCCTCAATGAATTCTGAAGCATGCTAACCAAGTTCACTGCAAGCAGGCAGATGCCTGACTTGGAGGGTTCTTGTCTGAATTTGATATGCCATAAACCACATTCATGATGATCAACCACCACATCATGATGGAAAAACTGTGGAACTTTCTAGAGCTGGTGTTCCTGACTATAGGCTATCCCGTGGCCAGAAAACAGCCAGCTGAGGAACAGCTGTGTGAATGATGAAACAATCGATATTAAGTGGGAAAATATTGTATGCAAATATGCAAGCCAGAATCTTGCTGTACAACAGTTTCAGGTAAGTTTGGGCCAAATTCTGGACCACTTATTGAGCAATCTAAGCTCTCTTCCATCTGAATTCGTATTTCCCCTTCCCTAAACACAATAATCAGACACTTAGTTTCCAAGGCCAAATGCTAGGATTGTTTTTATGAACAAGTTAGCTGTGTGGGAGATGTATGGCAGGCATAGTTTCACTTTTCTTTCTGAAATATGTTAACGGGAAGTATTCTCAGTTTAATTTTGGAGAATAAGAAAAAAAGGAAAGAACAACGAATTCAAGAAAAGGAAATAAAGGGTGAGGCTTTCTAGAAGCAGTAGAATAATTTTTGACACAAAATGTAGTTGGTATCTAGATAGAAGTACGCATGGTTTAAATATGCAGGTTTCCTAGTCCAAGAAGTAGGATGAAATTGCATTTAGAAATTAGTTGAAGCCAAATGTATAGCCAGCTAAGGCAAACAGAGGATATGGATTCAGTCGATTAACTTAGTACACTAAGGCAAATCTGAACAAAAAGCCTACAAAAGAAACAAACATGAGCTTGTTCCAGCTGCCTCCTCTGTCTGAAGATATAGGTCCTCTTTGTCCTGCTGGTGCAGATCTGAAGAAAAGAAAACAAACAGGATGTTCACAGCACAGAGCTGACTTAGGATTCTTTTAAATATCAGGCAGTTGTTGCCAAGGATGAAGTTTGCAGTCCAAGTGCTAAGCTAGAAGTTTCTTTGTAAGAGCTCACCACCAGATTCCCTTTGGCTGTCACGATTTTATAAACAGGATATCTGTGCAAAAAGCCTTGGGAACACTCCTTTCTACCTTAATACTACAGCCTCCTTGTTTTTCCACATCCATTTACTGTCTCTGGCCTTATGCTTGAGATTGTATAGAGCAATTCTAGACAGCAGTGGTCCTAGAGGTCTATTTTTACAGCAGCTGATTTAGCAGTATCCAGATCCATTTCTAAGTCCCCCTGACATCGCAATAATGCAAGTAATAAATACCTCTACTAATAGGTTGCATCTGGCCTCCTTTCTACTTACGTTTGTAAGCCATCTATGCCATCTAGTGGGTAGATTTTTACTTACAAGTTTTCTTCAAACATCGGGGTGTCAATTTAACAAGCCAAAAATCCAAATTTTATCTCAATAGCAACATAGTTCAAGTTTGTAGAGGAGTTAAGGGCCACTATTGCTACCCAAAAAGCCCCAAATGCATTACAGCACCTTCTAGGCCATTCCTCTGCTACCCTGACACAGCCTTCTCCTTTGATATCCCAATGTAACAGGAATTGTGGTTACAAAAAAAAAAAAAGTCACTTGGACAACTTTGTTTTGTGGCTCGGGACATTGTTCTCCAAAGGCTGAGAAGGCAGCTATTAGTACTGTAACAGCAAACAGCCATTGTGAAAGGGGATGTAACAGAACCTGCATGCCTAGTCTCACTATTTATAGTGAGATATATTCTATATTTATAATAATATATTCTATATCTATATATAGAAGTGTGAACACTGAGTATACATTGAGCACACACACTCTGCAAGGGAAACCTTTCCTGACAGGTAACATGTTCTTAACAGTGACGTCCCTACTGACCAAACTGTTCCCATGTCAGTTGATGGACCGTCAGAGAGCAGAGATCCATCCACAGAGAAAACAGATCTAGAAGATAATAATCAAATAATTTATATACATCTGCTTAAGGGCAACTAATTTCAATGGAGATGTTATTTATCAAAGAGAAGTAAGTGATTTGGGGAAGAGTGTAAGTATTCATTGGCTTGAAGTATTTTAGCTACGTAAATTTCAGGGAAAGGCAGTGACAGCATTCAGACTGGGAAGCTCTGACTTGATTATGGATAGCATAGATACAAAGAGAATCAAGCCTCTTACATTGCCATCTATACAGGAGGGAATAGAAGACTCAGGAAGGAAAGCAGCAAAGAAACTTCCTAAGGAGGAGGATAACAGCTGAGCTGCTTAGTAGCTACCCCAGGAGAGTATGAGACTGGTGCTTAGAATACACTAGTGATTTATGTTAATTTAAGGACCGACGTGAATGGGAAGAAGGGGTGGCTGCTCCCCAGCTTACATACTGCAAGTGCTAAGTGGTAATACTGCAGAACTGGTATTCTCATCCCTTAGGTGAAAGGAAAAAGCCATTAATGGTTTTCAAAAGCCTTCTCATCCAGGTTTCCTCACAAAACTTTGCGGGAAATGGTTTAAAACCTGAGAGAAGAGAAAAATTTCTGTTAAGAGTTCACAAGTTTATATTTTTTAAAGTCCTATAAAGTGCTTTTTCCTCCAATTTGTTAATATTGTCACCACGTTCAGAGCTGCAATTTTGCACGGGACAACCATATTTTCCTTTGACACATGAACAAAAGCCTTACCACTCACTGGCAGAACAAGAAAACCCTATTTTAATCCAGCATGCAAACAGTTATCTAGTAGAAAACAAATGCCAAACAGGACTGGAAGCCTGTTCTATGATCTGCTACCTAGGAGTCCAGAGCTATCTGATATGTAAAATGCCACCATTTTCATCACACATTTATAGGTTGGTGCTGGAATATAACTTGGATGTAAGAATAAATGTTGCATGACAAGGTGAGTAAAAGCTTTCAGTGACCAGCAGGAACAGGGAGTGTAAGGTGTACACTTTGTAAGGGTGTATTTGAAATGGAACATATGCTACAGAAAGCGATGTGCAACTCCTTTTTCTGTACTGCATGAAGCACTACTGCCACACAACCAAAGTCAGGCAAGCAGGAGTTGCACCTCTCTGCTGCCATAACCAGGGACAGCAAACCAGGTTTTTCATAGCAGAAGTTATCATTGCAGTATTACATAGGTATTAATACATAAAAGATTTGCAGGTGCTTGAATTAGGGCAGAAAGGACAGTAGGAGATAGGATATGGCAAAATCTATGGATTATGCATAAAATAATGTAACTCAAGAACAACTTTTATGCATCCACATATCCTGCTACATTCCAAACTGTGAGGAAGTTTTCATATTCAGATGCTCAGATACTTTGCGTACACCTACATATGCAGCAGCATATATATTAAGAAACTTAGTTACAATTGAAAACAGTCATCTCCTGTAAATTTACTGAAATACATAATAAATTAATTTAATCCTCTTTTTATAGTAAAGCAAAATACAGACAGAAAGGGAGACTATAAAACCTAGTTTGGGAGTGATGCTTGCTAACTCAGAAAGGTATATCTTGGATGTAATCTGCATTCTTTGCAGATAAACTATTGGCCCAAGGTAAAGACATTAAAATATAGAAATTGTGTTTGCACAAAAAATGGAAGATTAAAAAAAACTTCCTCAAAATTTGGAATTGCAAGTTCTAGTAGCTGCAGAAATGTCCTTTAGATCTGTTGCCATTTGACCTACGATTTCATTATTCATGGAAGAATATCAATGAAAGAAATTTCATATTTGTAATAGACTTTGCATCAAAACACTGATACATACAAACTTCACTCATACCACCAGTGATATACAGTGTGACTGTGTGATCGATGAGAACTGATTTACACCCAGTTTTGAACAGCAGGTGCTCACAGACAAATTGTGCACAATTTGTAGATAGAAACTGCTCACTCAATACACAGTAAGTAATAAATTCAAGAATACTGCACATTGCATATGGGGGATATATAATAGATGGTGGAGGTGGAATCTGTTGAACTGTTGGCTTCTGCATTATTTGGTTGTAATGACTCTGAGGATGGACTGAACTTCTTTTACTTACGATGAAAGGGTACACTTAGAATCATCAGGATAATCCACACAGAGTAAGAACATTACAGACCTGTAAAGATACCATTTTATTTAGCATCTTTCAGGCAGAAAACAGAGGAAAACAAATGAAGAAAAATAAACCCACCCTGAAACAAAATCAACAGTACTGTCATGTCTAAAACTTCCCTTCAATTATATTTATTTTACAATCTACTGTGGATAGCTACAGCTGTGAATACTACTGTGAATAACCAGTAATCCTGCAGACATTCGATAGTGTTTTTAACTGTTGTTTAGATTTTCAATCCAAATACGTATTTTATAATGAAGTGGAATACATGAGGCCATCTTCTGTGTCTGACACTGGGTAAGTAATTATACTGTTACACAATATGGTGCTGTGTTCTGCTCAGTTCATGGCTGAAAAATGCCAAGTCTGAAAAATGTGACATCACCCCTCCAATATATCAGTCTCTTACTGAAGACACAAGATTAATTGCATTTAAAAGGTAAGAAACCGTTTAGAATAGATGAGATGCTTCTGCAAATACAACATAGTAATGAAGAAATTTCACTTACTTGTAATTGTCAGTGCAGGTGACATCATAACCAAGGGTTTTCAATCTGTTTTCTAGTTTCTCTACAGTATGAGTTCCACAGGAATCTCTGTGAGAAAGGATTTTAATATAATTGTATTTCTTTTCACTGAACCTGATGCAATTAGTAAAGTAAATCCCCCTTATTTGGGCTCTTCTGTATTCCTTAACACCTACAGAAAACTGGTGTACAATGCTATTTATAATGCTTCATTTGCTTACAATCATTTAACATTTTGTACTCAGTTTGCAGATACTGGAAGATTGGCTTCAGCCAGTGTAGCACTTGCAGATTCTATTAATCAATATTCCCACATCTAATATTTCACTAGACAAACAGAAAAAGAGCTAGTTATTTTTGTAAAATGATAATGAACGTTTCACTTGTAATATTCTTTGGCAGCTATTTAGGTGATGCTAAAGTCAATGCCAGCTGTCCTTATAGATTAAGCTGGCTATAACAAATTAGAATTATTCTTCTTGTTAGGTGATTGCTCTCTTTCTTGAATACAGAACAGAAAAATCCATGGAGAAATTAAAAAAAAAACAACCCAGAAACAATCCTAAATGCAGCTTCTGTGTCTAGCAATAATTTTTTAATTTGTGGTCCAATTACCAAAAGAAAATTTAGCATAGCACAGAACCTACTGAGATTTCTAAAACTTGCACCAACATGAAATACTAAGGCTCCTTGCCCAATGGTCTGTAAATACTCATGACTAAAGAAATCCTATAGGGACCAACAAAATAACCATAGAATCATACAATCGTAGAACAGTTTGGGCTACAAGGGACCTTCAAAGTTCATCCAGTCCAACCCCAGCAATGACTAGGGACATCTTCAACCAGAACAGTTTGCCCAGAACCACATCCACCCTGTCCTTGAATGTCTCCAGGGATGGCACATCCACCACGTCTCTGGGCAACCTGTTCCGTTATTTTACCACCTTTATTTTTAAGAACTTTTCCCTCACATCCAGCCTGAATCTCTCCTCTTTTAGTTTAAAACCATTACCCCTCATCCTATTGTAACTGCTATGCAAATATAACCAAACAGAAAGCTAAGGTGAATTTTTAAATACAGGTCCAAAAAGGAGAAATTAATTTTTATGGATGACGTAACTTACGTATCTGGTCCTCCAATATCATCCACAACCCAGATGGCAATTTGTGAGATTTTGTCTTTTTGGAGATTAGGTATTTCATAATCTGCAAAAAAACTAATTCAAGAAACAGTTTTAGAACTATAAAGAAAGAATAAGAAAAATAAATAACCTTTTCCCCTTTGCATTAATGAAGGCTTTGATCCTGCTGTAGGATATGGGCTTGCTGAACTTTACATTTACATCTTATGATTACAATTAGACTCAACACAGAGTAGAAAAAATCTGATTCACATTCTGAATATCCTCAAAGGTCAAAGGCATTTAATCAGGCGATTTGTTTTTACATTCTTCATCTTAGAAGGGCTCAGCTGCAAAAAAGTTACAACTGAAGAGGTGAACCAGAATGAAGGGAACTTTTAAAAATGCAAAAGCAGAACAAAAAACATTCGATAATTAGTAAAAAAATACAAAGGTCAC